AGGCGGAGAGAAAGGAACCAGAGTGATGGACGGCTACCTGTGGCGCTGCCAGGTGGCCTCGGTCAGTGGGTTTGTGACGTAAGGGGTAAAAGAATCTTGAGGTCATAGGGCTTCCCCTGACCTGGATTCTATCTCTCCGTCACCGGCAGAATCGCTGATTAATGCCTACAGTTCAAAATAGTCATTTTGACTGACCGGAGTCTATGGTGGGTATGAACTATGTGGATTGGCGGGTTCGGACAACCCTCGCCTAATTTTCCCCCAATCATCCATTTTTTGGGTGATATATCATTGATTCAGCCCAGCGGTAATATTGCTTATTTATTAGCGTGCCCGGGAACCAAAATTTGGGACGTGATTGACTTGGACAACAATCATAACCAAGAAGGGGGAAACTACTTACCGCGGCGATAGCTGCCTCAATTATATCTTGATTTTAGTAATCAAGGGTAAAAACCATGTTTATGCTTTGAGAAAGTGCAGATCTTGAACGTACTTTAGTGCAAATACATTTTTGCCTATCATGGCGAATGCAATTTACTGCGAGTGAATTTCCCTAGTTGTATGCGGTGTCCAATATGGCACCCAAGGGCAAAAACATTGTTATGCAAATTAGCTCTAGTTGAAAATTTGAGTTTTCTCTGTGATATCTACGTGAATTTAAACCAAAATGTTATTGGCAAGACTCAGAACACGACTGTGACAGCCACTGAAACGCAGTTGAAGGCAAATGAACATGTCAAGCAAAAAAAACTTTTTCGAATTGTGGGGAAAAATGGAGGCACATACCATTTTGACCCTTGAGGGGAATGGAAATCAGTTGATTTGAGGGTGTCACAATAAGCGAGGGAGTAAATTGTTTTTATGCTACGAAAAAATGCAGACCTTGGACGTACCTTTTGTACTTTAGTACAAGTTCATTTTTGTTTGATTACCTAAAGTGTTTAGGTTCATTTGAAGTTACAGAGCACATACCTAAGTGGCCATCCCTTAGCAAATAATGATGTCGAAATCGCGAAACTCACCTTTTTTACACAAACTGGGAAGTTCGAATTACTAAACAAAGTACAGGACAACTCGTGTATGTGAGACTGACAGGGAAACAGCCATATTCATGTATGTGAGACTGACAGGGAAACAGCCATACTCATGTATGTGAGAATGACAGGAAAACAGCCATACTCGTGTATGTGAGACGTACAGGGAAACAGCCATACTCATGTATGTGAGAATGACAGGGAAACAGCCATACTCATGTATGTGAATGACGGGGAAACAACCATACTCGTGTAAGTGAGAATGACAGGGAAACAGCCATACTCATGTATGTGAGACTGACAGGGAAACAGCCATACTCGTGTATGTGAGACTGACAGGGAAACAGCCATACTCATGTATGTGAGACTGACAGGGAAACAGCCATACCCATGTATGTGAGAATGACAGGGAAACAGCCATACCCCCATGTATATGAGAATGACAGGGAAACAGCCATACTCATGTATGTGAGACTGACAGGGAAACAGCCATACTCATGTATGTGAGACTGACAGGGAAACAGCCATACTCATGTATATGAGAATGACAGGGAAACAGCCATACCCATGTATGTGAGAATGACAGGGAAACAGCCATACTCATGTATGTGAGAATGACAGGGAAACAGCCATACTCATGTATGTGAGAATGACGGGGAAACAGCCATACTCATGTATGTGAGAATGACAGGGAAACAGCCATACTCATGTATGTGAAAATAACAGGGAAACAGCCATACTCATGTATGTGAAAATAACAGGGAAACAGCCATACTCATGTATGTGAAAATGACAGGGAAACTGCCATACTCGTGTATGTGAGGCTTACAGGGAGACAGCCATACTCATGTATGTGAGGCTTACAGGGAGACAGCCATACTCATGTATGTGAGGCTTACAGGGAGACAGCCATACTCATGTATGTGAGGCTTACAGGGAGACAGCCATACTCATGTATGTGAGGCTTACAGGGAGACAGCCATACTCATGTATGTGAGGCTTACAGGGAGACAGCCATACTCATGTATGTGAGGCTTACAGGGAGACAGCCATACTCATGTAAATCATGTTCTCAATGTCACAGAGTTTGTAGCTAAATGTGGCTAAGATTTCTGGTCCAATTCACTGACATGAGAACTACCGGTATGCTGGAATATAAAACTAATGAGCAATAATTTTCTTTTAACAGAAAAAGAGGGAGACTGGCTGGGACCATTCTGTTTTATTCAGGGAGCAGACACACAGTATGGAATGATTGCTGAATTTTTTGAAGTGGAGGGATTGATGAAATGGGAAAGAGAAATTGAATTGACACGACAGGCAGTAGTTGCTGCAAATATGATGGAACCACAACCCAAGTTCTTCATTGTGTGTGGTGATCTTGTACATGCTATGCCAGGTCAGTCAACATAATATATTAGCTTTACTTTTTAGTTTCTGTTCGAACAAAGTTCAAAAAGTGAGTCTTATAATCCTGTTTCCGTCTGCCTGCTCATCCGTCCATCTCAAGTCATATTTAATATGTGAGACATATACGCATGCAGTGGTTTCATGATCAGACAGACAGCCATGTGGTATCTTGGACAGGCTTTGTCAGTTTTTGTACAAATTTGTTACATATATTATACATGTCCATGACAGTCTGTTTTACAATTGGACCAAAGATCACAGCCATCTTGCTTTTTGGCAGTACTACTATTTCTCAAAAACTTATGTACCATTTTCATTCTTATTTGGCACATACATCATACATGTTCATGTCAGTTTGTTCCATAATCAGATCAAAGATGTGGTAGCCATATTGTTTTTTAGAAAATGTATTGTTGACATGTTTGGATACTAGTGTGACAATTAGTTTCACAACTATATTAAACATATACTCTATACTATATATCCATTTCACCTATGTACAATTGTGTCATAAATAAATAGATATGAGCTACCGGGGTATCCTTTTTAGTCCCTTTGACTTGTAGGCATAATGATTAATGTACATGATGATTTGTTTTATGATGTTTTATCTTCCTTTTTATCTTTGAGACCCATGTACAGTCTCATATTTTTGTTACATTCATCATAATACATGCCTATGTTTATTTGTAGGAATATTTCCGAAGGTTGTAATCAAATGTTTATACAATGTATGTTAGTCACTTGGTGCATGTTGATGTTTGACTTGTGCTTTGTTTTCATTAAATTGTAAAGTGCCTTAATTTCCCGCCATGAAAACTTTAACGCATTAACAAATAATGTGGCAAACATCTATGGTATTGAAGACGTGCACTTTACTTGAGTTGGAATACAAATATTTCATAAATATGAAAAATTGCAAATAAAAATATATTAGATCACAAATTTAGAAGTCATTTAATAAATCTGATTTTTCTTGATACTATTTTAGTCTATTATTCATTCTCAATTACTGACCATTCAGACCTGATTGGTTTCAGGTTAATAATAATTAATAATAATTAGTCAATTTTCAGGTTTTCAACTGATATCTCACGTACTGATCAACAATGAAACTTGGTACATAGATGGTCTAAAATGCACAGACCTGATTAGTCTTGGGGTTAAAATCTGTGCATAATTAATTACCTAATCTGTATAATTAGACAATTTTCAGCTTTCACAATGATATCTTAAGTGCTAACTATTCCATTTCAATGAATCTTGGTACATAGATGCTCTAGGACAATGCACAGAATTAATTTTAATTTGTCTCAAATACTCTCAGCACACAGGAGTTTTTTTTAAGCTTTCTTTGATTATTATAACAATACAATATGTATCTGGTTGTAGCTTTCATTTAGCCATTGGTGTGATTACTGGGGTTTTCTGATCATGAGTTACACTAGCTGTGATGCAGACTGGATATTATCACACTTTTGCCCTCATTATTGACTCATACTGCTTGCTCATTATTTCAGCATACAGTGTAACATTGTATCCATTCTGAAATCTTTTTGTTATTTAATCTAGATTCCCAATGGACAAGGTTGTAATAGTAACACTATGTTTTTTTTCAGGTACCAAAGATAGAGATGCACAGGAAGAAGACCTAAAAAAAGAGCTTCAATTGTTAAACTCTGAAATACCATTGGTTTGTGTTTGTGGTAACCATGACATTGGTAATACTCCAACAAGACAGACAATTGCTCACTATGTAGAAAAGTTTGGTGATGATTATTTTAGTTTTTGGGTTGGCGGGGTAAAATTTTTAGTTTTAAATTCACAACTGTATGAAGATCCAAGTGAAGTGATGAAACTGAAGGATAGTCAAGACAAATGGTTGGACCAGCAATTGGAAGGTACAGTATATGTAATATATAATTAATATTACAACAATATTACAAATCTGATGTAATGCTATGGGGTGTAATGTGACCAAATGCAATGTGATGTGATATAATGTACTAGGGTGTAATGTAATGGAGTATGATGTGATATAATGTACTAGGGTGTAATGTAATGGAGTATGATGATATATAATGTACTAGGGTGTAATGTAATGGAGTATGATGTGATTTAATGTACTAGTGTGTAATGTAATGAAGTATGATGTGATATAATGTACATGTACTAGGGTGTA